ATATATATTTTTTTTTTGTTTTCTTTCCTTAATTTTTTTTATATATCAATTTTACGAGTTAATTTTTTTTTTGTTGTAAATTCATGTTGGCGAGTTTTTTTATTTTCGCTACGGAGTCGAAGCGCGGGTTCGAATAATTTTTGCTAATTATTTTTTTTTTTGTTTTGGTTAATCCTTTTTTTTTAATTTTCTATTTCGCTAACAATAATATTTTGGAGTTCATTATTTGTTATTGTTTGATTTTAAGTCATTTTGAATATTTGGAAAGAAGCAAAACTTTTTTTATTTTGCCTGTACTTATTATTTTTTTTAATAAAAGTTATTATTTTTTTTTATATGCAACTCAAATTTCATCTTTCTGTCTGTTATCTGTGCGTTCGTTTACAATTTTCCTATTTTGCTTAACATCACGTCACAGTTCGTGGGCCGTACGGGAGTAACTGTGTGGCGCCTTAGAAATGAAACCCTCCCCATCTTCACTGAGCTAGGCGAGGACCCGTACTTGCGCCGTGGAATTTTGTAATTGGTTTGTGTTGTGAATAGTTTTATTTGTATTTTTTTTGCCGGTAAGGCGTCACAATATATCATAGATACAGCGCCAGTAGAAGCTGATGATTTTATTAAATATTTCGTATTTGTCCAAAAACAGTTTTTTTTTTCGATTTTGCTGACAAAGTTGTCGGCGATAATTCCAGAGATAGAGAGAGAACCCATTGGTAAGTCATCCTCCAGCATTAATAATTCCTTATTAAAAACAAAGACATTCTGCTTACACACGCATTTCAACATTTCTTTTTATTCAAATTTAATTTGGAAATCAAAAACCCTACTATGATGGAAATAGACTCATTAATGGGAGAGATTAGTATACATATATTCTTTATGTCGAATTATATCAGTTTTGAATTTTTTTGGAGTTAAATTAGTTTATTTTATATAGAAGTATTGAACGCGTTATATAAAAATTTATGTATAATTTTAGGGAGGAATTTTATCTTTTTTATGAAGTTTTATTAGAGACTTAAAGGTGGGAATTAGTGGGTTCATTTCCAATAGTGACTCTCTCCAAATATGTGATGAACAATTTGAGGGACATTGCATCGCTTTGTTTTCTCCTACCTCTAATTTTACAGATACAGTATTTTACAAATTTTACAATCATTGTAGCATTTTTGTCGATGTTATAAATAAGTTTGATGTATCGAAAATCGACTCCGCATTCGTGCAGTTGTCAAAGGATAAAAAGATCTCTTAATGTTTCAAGTAAACGTTGGCCATCTATTTTAATTGCATCTGAAAATACATTGTCTTCACCTGGTGATTTTCTCAAGGCTAGTTCTATCTCCTCTATGGTAATATCAGGTATTTCCTCTGATCCTTGGTTGACAATACCCTTTTTATATGTGATAAAATCTGGTTCGTATGTCTCGTCAACCTCATATACTTTTATTGTATAGCATTTTATAGAGTTCCTCTAAAATGTTAAGTATTTGCTTTTTTTTTGTTGTAAGGTTTCCTTATGGGTCTCTTAATTTACACATTTATTTCTTTCCGTTCGTAAGTTTCCTACGTAACACTTTCGTAATTTTGTTCTTCTCTATAGTTTGTTCTATCGTTTCTCTTTTATATTTTCTTTTTTTTTCTTATTGCTTTAGATACATGTTTGTTTATTTCTTTGATCTCTTCATTTGTGATTGTTCTTTTGCTTCTCTTGTTTCTTCTGTCTTGCATTAGTTGTTTGGTTCTTCCATTATTGTTTTTCTCCATTTGTGTTTTAGGATAGTTCCTTTCCTGACTTTCTGTTATAGCTATGACTATATCGTCATTTAAAATATCCACGTTTGTTTCTATATGAGGTTGTTCCAATAGAACACTAATACACCCCTAGAAACCATATGTATCCGTCGCACAGTGGGGCCAAAGCAATGAAAAGTTGGAAAAAAGTCGAAAAATATAATTCATATTTATGGCCAATTTTCTATGACAACATGCAGGTACATAACCTAACTACCCTACTCAACAATAAAAATNGAGTCGTCAGACATCAAACCAACCTTGGCGTTGAAATCACCGCTCAGAAATTTAAAGGGAATTCTCCAAACTAAACTTATGTCTTTATAAAAGAGTATGCCTCATCGGTACGCGTGATGTTGGTGCTTATAGCTGAATAGTTTTGATACAGTATATCTTGTTTAATTTTAGTACTGCAAATCCGACTCTTAACTATGTGATGTGTGAAGATAATTAAGTCCAAAAATATTACGACATGCAGACCTAACGATCAGATAACGTCTGATCCTTGTCTGGAGTCCTTATCCTCGAGTATATCAATGGTGTGATGATATTTCGATATTTCGTCGTATTTCACCGTCCGGGGGTGATTTCGTCACTTCCGGCTGCATTTCTCATTTTCATCCTATGTATTGCTTCTATGGTTATTGCTTCTTACCCCTCCATTTCTTCTGTCACCATATTTCCATTCTTACCCTTTATACACCATGCTCTTTTGCCATATTTTCCTCTTAGATGTTTAACTGTCGTCCAGACATAATAAGAAAACATTTTCTTATTGTTTGTGTTGTCTTTAAACTTTCCCTCTATTTGTTTGCCGAAGTCTTCCCATACTTTATTCTTTGCTTCTCCGACTATTTCTCTTGTTTCGTTCTTTTCTTTGACAATCTGTTTCATTTCCTCAGTCAACCATTTTGTTCTTTTAAGCCTTGAAGCCTTTTTAGTTTTAACTTTTATCCATGTTTCTTCTATCGTTCATTGTTGCCCTTGTTTTTCCTTCCTGTCATGTTGCATTAACAATTTTTTTAACTTTTCCCTGTTTTGTCCTTAATTCTTTATATGACTTTTATATCTAGTAGAACATATTTGGTTTCTGGAGTGTAGGTACAATAGTCTACTATGCTTTTGTCATTTCGTCTGTTTGCCGTGTAGGTAATCTTATGTATCTCCTTGCTCTTAAACCAGCAATTTCCGACTAACAGTTTGTTGGTAATATTGTTGGAATTTGGTTGTCTAAGGCTTTCCTTTTTAAATAAAGCCCGATTGTTTATGAAACAATGATTGGGCCACTATCAGGACCCAATCCAACTCAGTATAAAGAGTTATATTCTAAACATGCATAACTAAATTATTTTATTAACTTGGCAATCTATTTCTCCCATTGAGACTGTTAGATTTTGCATTTTACTTGCCATAAACAACACCAGTTTGTTGCTGTTATATGATATATAATTATATGATCATCGGTTCGACAATCCACAGTGGATCCTCTCCCGCTCCAAAAGTCTCTTCCATTCTGCTCTGTCTCTAACAACCTCCCACCATCTGGACACGTTCATGGTCTCAAAATCATCTTCAACAGCATCCATCCAACACGCACAGGGGCGGCCTCTATTTCTTCTTCCCTCCCGTTTACCTGTCGTGACTTTCTTAGAATACACATGACCCGCCAATCTCAAGCGATTTATCCTTATGGTTTTAACTATATCTGGGTCGTCGTAAATCCCATATAAATCTTTCTGAGGACCTTACGTTCAGATGCCAAGTTCATCTTTGCTCGTTCATCGTTTTGGCTCAATGTGAACGTGACAGGAGGACCGACCACACTAGCGTCTTGTATGTTGTTATCCTTGTCCTGCGGGTGAGAGCGCGTGAACAGATATGTCTCTGAAGACCATGAAGAAACCTGTTTGCGACGTTGATGGGTCATTTGAATTAAACCCTGCATTTATTGGTAGTGTTCGACGAGAACTCTAAAGTACACAAAACTATCAATTTGTTCGAAAAAGTATTCGCCAAAGTGAATTGTTGCTAAAGTTTTGTTTGGCGGGTCTCTAGTGGAACTATGTACTTTGTTTTCACCTGGTTAATAGTCAAGCCAACTCTCTTTGCAGCTTATTCCAGTCCGATGAAGCATTCCTCCACATCTCTTTTACTGCGACCCACAATAACAATATCATCGGTGTATCCCAACAAACAGTTGTTTCAATCTATAAAAGTCTCTTCTTATTTAAATTTCTCTGACTGTCTTTTCCATCGAGTGATTAAAGAATAAGCATCAGACTTTGCTTTATTTGGAAGCACTTGAAGACTTCTGTTTGCATCCTACAGATACAATCATCGTACAGATAATGTAATGTATTGTCATTTGGATTAGACGTACAAGATTCTGTTGTATCCCAAATTTTATCACATCGTTAATGAGGACAGATGTATTGATACTGTCGTATACCACTCTAAAGTCAACAAACAGATGGTGCGTATTGACGTTATGTCTAAGGGTCTCTTCAGAATTTGTCGCAATAAGTAAATTTGGTCGATGATCGACCTTCTGGGGGTAAACCTTCGCTGATACTGATTCCCTTCCTGATCATAGAAGTGAAATCTGCTGCAGAGTATACTGCTCAGTATTTAGTATGCTGCTATCAGGAGAGTTATCCATTTGTCATCGCAGTTGAGAGGGTCGCCTTTTTTATTTATTGCGCATATTATTCCGCATTGCCATCTTGAGGCACTCCTTCTCTCTCCCATATTGATCTCATCAGGCTATACAACGTTTCAACCATCTCATCTCCACCTTTCTTGTATAGTTCGTTGCATAATTCATCAGTGCAAGAAGATTTATTATTTTTTAGCTCTTTAATGGCACTTATAATTTCTTGTTGGGTAGGTCCTGTTCTAATTGCTTACAGTGTTGAAACTGGATAGGTGTTTCTACCACTCTTGATTGTTGTTAAGTATCTCCTCAAAGTATTGTGTTCATCTTTTCAAAATTGAGACCGTGTTATTCATTCCATTTCCTTCTTTGTTTCCACCAATTATATTACCCCTCTTTAAGAAATACTTTTTATAAATGCAGATTCATCAATTCTACTGATTCAACTTTCATCAATATCGAATGTAGTTACAATATATTAGCTTTTGCAGCAAACATCAAATAAAAATAATTCGAAAAAAGAGTTCAATAACTTGAGATGTTAATTTTTTAGAGACGCAAAGCCAAAACAGAACCTCCTCCAACAAACGGATCAACAACAGAAGCACCTTATATGTTAACAAGAAGCGAATTAAATAGAATTTTAAGGAGGAATTTAAAGGGGTTATTAAGACTTTATAACATAGAATTGAACGACGCTTTAAAGGTAAATCATAAGTAAGGTTTGTTGACAAACTTTTTGACTTGAATTAACTCTTTTTCAGACTTCTTATAGAAACAATAAAGAATGGAGAAAAAATGTTTCTTCAGAAGTATCTAAATATTTATAAATCAGACGAGAACGGAATTATATTTGCTCAAATTTTGTAAATTTCTTTGTAAATAGAACAATTAGAAAGATTGTAAATTATTAATAAAAAAACTTTAACAAAAGGATGTATAAATGGATGTATAACTGGTTGCTTGCATTTAAATTTATTTTTAAATTATTTCTAAACAACCAAATACAACCTTACGTAGTTAATCCCCAATGATATAGTATTTTGATTACAACAAGACAACCTCTCAACCGATTTCGATAAACAATATCTAATTCCAAAGCTTAATCGTTGGTTAACACGAAAGTTTTACATCTTGTTATTGGCAGAGCACGGGATTCGGAACGTTTTAGAAAAAAGGTTTTAGTATAAACGTTGTAGCAAACTTTATTTTTTACAATATTTTTCTTTTACACTTTACCCTCAGATGCATAAATATCAAAAGAAAACACCAAAAGTTGAAAATTATATGAAATCTTGGTGTTATATCTTGTGTTTGAACAATGTTAGTAGTAAAATACATTTTACCAGTAAATGTGAATAAGATTTGATTTAATTTGATTTAAAAAATCAACTAACTGTACTTTTATATTGGTTTATTATAAAAATATTTCGCTTTACATGTTTCGACTAATTAGTCATCTTCAAAAGCACTACAAATTGACAACAAGAATGATAATAAAAGTTGTTATAAAAATGAAATAAAATTAACTTACTTGTCGTAATAAAAGAAATGGCGTTCAAAAAACTTCCCATGAAAGCCGAAAACGTGGTCAGAACATCAAATAAGGCGATAATTAAACAACAACTGCAAATATTAAATTTAAAAGACTATGAAACTAACATGTTAAAATTGTAAAATATAAAGTTTAAAACTTAAAACAACGTTACACGAAAAGATACAAAAATAAAATGGTTGAAAATTGCAAGAGGTGACCACTTTTTATGAGTTTTTATGTGTTGAAAATTTGAAAAATATTATAAAATTATATAAAGGTGTTCAGAAAGAAATCAAATCATTTCTGCGAGTATTAAATAATGAAAAATGTGAAAAAATAGATGATAAATGAGTTTTCATCATAATGTAAGCGAGGCAACACCAACAACATTTTTATAAAGAATCAAAAAATAATGACTGTATTTAAATATTTATGTAAAAATTATTATTAAAAAAGTCTCATCTCGAGCCGTAAAAAGGAAACATTTTTCCAGGCATTAAACTATAAGGTAAGGGAAAGGGGTAATAAAATTTGGACTTTAAATTAATAAATAATACAGGATTGGGAAACAACAAGGATACGGTATAGAAAGGAATTGGGTGTAGCCGCATTTTTTTTATAATAAACCAGTACAAAAGTACAGTTAGTTGATTTTTGAAATCAAATTATATATAATTTATATATATATAATTTCAAATATCTTCTTCTGTATCCATCGTAAGTGCTTCATATATTGTCCAATGTTTATTGTCATTATCCTTTACGTCTCGTTTTAAACACATATTGTCTAATATCCGCCTGTTGTACTTTTTATTGATGAACTTCTTCTTTAGTTCTTTGTGTCCATCGAGGTATACTATGTTTACTGGAGTGCGTGCTTTGAGCTAGAAAACGAGCCGGCCTCCCCCACCCCATAACGGCAAAAAGCTTCAACGTAACATACGTAATAGTATATTAAAAAACAAGTTTCGTAAGACACGCTTGAAACGCACGAATTCAAGTTGAAAAACGAGTGGCGAAGCCACGAGAGAATGAGTGAAAGAATGAGTGCTTTAAGTCTTATGAAACGTGTTTTTTATGCTATTTTTTGTAATTCGCGTTTTTATACTTTTTTTTAACAAAAATAAAGTAAATTTTGGCAATGTAGGGAATAGGTATGTAGCAGTTGGTAACACCGGAACACTTGAAAATAGAAACTTTGAATTGACAATTAGAAACTGTCAAAACACATAATATATTCACCTGAAAAAAATGTTTGATGTACACCTCCCAAAATAAGAGAAATTGCTCAGTGTCAATGTCCTCATTATTGTGAACTTTGTATTCGATGCTAAGAACGTGTTTAAACATCCATAGACAAAAATTGTCACATTGACAACTAGAAAAATTAATGACCCAATGTCACCAACTTGAACTGGTTCCATAAAATGTTACTAAAATCTCATTACAGCATCGGATGCTGTAAGGAGTCTCATTACAGCACCCGTTTGAGTACTGTTATAGCCTCCATTACCGTAGCGAATTACAAAAAATTTATTATTATTACTTTTTTTTTCTAACTATAATAACTTAAATATGTATTATTTGGTATTTTTCATCATTATTGAATAACATTATTTAAATTACTTAGTAAATATTGAATAAATTCATACTGAATTATATCCATTAGTTAGTACTATTTGTATTTCTTGCCGTTATAGGGTGGGGGAACATGCTGGCGAATCGGACCGTTTTCTCGACCAAGCGAATATCGTGAGCACGTATAAGATAAATTATATGTATCTCGATGTTTGTGCCTTAGTCTTATTGGTTTTATTTGTGAGCGTATAGGCCTTCGTTGCTTATAGCGTGCAGAGGATTTCTTGGATGTCGTATTTTAGTTATTATTCTTATGAATTTTCTTTCTGCTTTATCAATGATATCTTTGGTCTTATTACTCGCGTTGATAGTTGATATGTGTTCATAGTCTAATACTGGTCTGCATATGGCTTTATAGATCTTCATTGCCGTGTTGGTGTGTATCCCTTTGTTTTTATAAGTTAGTGCTCGGAAGTATTTTACGCTTCTGATTGCTTCGTCTGTTTTGGTTTTGTAATGCTTGGATAGTTTTAGGACATTATCCAAAATAATGCCCAAGTATTTAACGGAAGGGGATGGTCTTACGCGTAGGTTGCCAGCATACACTGTTGGAGATTTTTCGCAAATGCGGTGGTTGGGGACCATTACTTGGAATTTTCCCGGATTGGGAGCAAGTCTCCATTTATGTAACAACTTCAATACTCTATTATATAGCGTTTGTAAATTTGATGTAGCTTTGTCCAATGTATTGCTATGTGAGATGAGCGTCGTGTCGTCTGCATATTGCAAGATGTAGAGGTTAGGATTGAAATGGTTAGGATCTTCTGCGCAGATGTCATAACAGTATATGTTGTATAAGGTGGGAGAAAGGGGGAACCCTGAGGGCCGCCTTGTTTAGGTGTGAAAGGGAATGAGAATGTGTAGTCGATTTTTACTTGAAGCGAACTATTTTTTAAAAATTCGTCTATTGAAGTAGGGTAAACGCACCAGTGTTTGACCTGTTAAGGATTTTTTAATGTCAGTGTTTGACCGAGCCATATTATTTTTCTTGTAGATCCCTCTGCCTTTGCATATAATGATCAAAATATGATCAAATACACATCTGATTCATTTAAAGTTACTTACCCTACATATAAAATATAACATCATGAAGTAATATTTTTTTTAAATTAAAAAGGAAACAGTATTTATTATTTCGCATTTAGTGTTTGACCACTTTGATTACATTAGTTGACCAATAATATCTAGTCTTTGACCTTAAAACCGTCAATGTTTGACCGATTCTTAATATAATATTCATTTTCATTATTTATCATACTATTTTGTTCACAAAAAATGTTTATATTTTTTGACTCTTTAAGAACATCATTTAAAACAGGAGCAAAATGCTCTTGAGTTAACTTTTCACCCAAATTTTGTGTTTTCCAACTGGGTTGTTGTAACAGGAAAACCCCTATCTGCTGAATGAAACAACCATTCAACCAGCAGTTTTTCTTCATCAGAATTTAAAAATGCTGGTGGGCCCATTTTCTTCTACACTGGTGTTTTTCCTTTTTCTTTATAAATAAGATTTTACTTTGGAAGTTAAACATCTGGGCTGCTTTTTCATAAGATAAACTTCTTACATCGAGAGTCTTTTGAAGATCTTCTTCACTATTTTTAAACTTAGGTTTCGTTGTCATATTGGTACTGAAAAAATGTTAACCTGATTCATATTTGTTAAATTTTCCATATAGATTTTCCATTTTTTGATAATTGACCACTATAAGGCCAGGCGCGCACTAGCGATTTAGTTGCGGCAACTTAAAAATCACCAAAATGAAATACACTGAGTTATATGAAGCGGCGCGCACTAGCAGCTATTTAATCACGGCAACTAAAAAATTACATCTTGCCCTATTTTCAAGGCGACTCAACTGTTGCCGGGAATAATGCAACGTACACGTTTTAACCTGTACGCGCGCACTGGCGATTATTCGGTCAGTTGCTACCAGTTGCTTTCTTTCNATGAATAGGCCGGCACTTAGCGCGAAATTAAACAACAAAAACTCAAGAACGGTATGGTCGTGGACTTTTTGTGTACTAGGGGGTGGAGAGGAGACTAGTGGCTATTTATGGATATATTTCTATTTTGTTAGATATTCCTTGGATCCTTATTTTTCACATTTTTTACAAAAACGGTCAAACACTGATGAATACACTATTTGCGTATTTAAGGATTCGTTGGTTTATTATGCTTTCTAGGATTTTGCCTATGACCGGAAGGAGTGTGATTGGTCTGTAGTTTTTGGGTAGATGATAGTCTGAATCGGGTTTGGGGATAGCAATAATGCTACCGGTTTTTCATATATTCGGTATTTGTCTCGATTTTAAACAATAATTCATAGACTTACGTATGAATTTGTGTGTGTTGGAATTGAGGTTCCTTAGTAGGTGGTTTGTTACTGGGTCTTTTCCTGGAGATGAATTTTTTCCTTTATTGATGAGGTCCATGTATTCGTCTTCTTCAACATCGGTAATTGCTTCCGACTTAATTGTAGTTTTAATGACATTTTTGTACCAATTCTCCACAATATTCTTGTTGTTAACATCAAACAAAATATTTTCTTTTGGGCTAAACGCGATGTTAAAGTGTTTTGCTAATACATCGTATTTTTCTGGGGTTGTTTTGTGTTCTTTATCTTCCCATATTAACGGTGGAATTAACCTAGTTTTGCGATACTCAGTAACTTTCTTAATTTTCTGCCAAAAGGATCGTCCTTGGTCTTCATTTATTTCTTCGCATACCTTCAACCATTGATCTAGTTGGATGGAATGTTCTGATCGCTCTTTGAATCTGTTTATTAGCTTTGT